ACAAAAGCTAGACAGTGGAAATAGAAGACAGAAGAATTCATACTTCATATGAATATAGGTGCTATGATCATTTCTTCATTTTACTGAGGAAGAAACTGAGACTCAGGTTAAGTAGTTTGCTCAAAGTCACAGAGCTAGTAAGTTGCAGAGCTGGAATTTGATTTCAGGCCTTCTGGCCCAGAATACATGTTCTTAGACATATCTCTATACTGTCACTGAAACACCTTTAAACTGACTAGACATTTGTGAACTGTCCAGGAAATACACCCATCACTTACAACTTATTTCTATGGTAAAGTAAATTTTGAGTTCCAGACATCTGACTCATGAAGAAATGTTGAAAGCACATGTTTTAATTTAGGAAACTGCCTGGACCTCCGTGGCCTATAAAAAAGCTGCACGTATTAGTGATATACCATTTAAGGGCACTGTAAATTCTGTGTAAAAAAAATTCTAGAATATTAATTACCATAAGTTCTTGGATCCTCCTTTTTTTGGATTTAATTATTCTGATGTGCAGCATTCCACATCTTATTAATTCATGCTGCCAACAAAATAAATGACTTAAGATTACTTTAAAAAGCAAGGCAAAATCCATTTATAAGAGAACTGTTCTTTAGGAATGGAGCCCTGGTGGTGTGACAGTTAAGCTCTTGGCTACTCACTGTAAGGTTGGAAGTTTGAACACACCCAGCTGCTTTATGGGAGAAAGGCCTAGCCATCTGCTTCTGTAAAGATTACAGTGGGGGGGGGGCACGGATTGGGGGGGGCACTGAGGGGACAGACACTATGTGGCAGTTCTACTCTCTCGCATGGGGTCACTATGACAGCACCTAACAACAACAGTATTTTGGAGAAATAAAAAGTTCACTGCTTAAAACATTATACCTGCTCCCGTGCTCTTGCTCCCTTGAGAAAATGTCTAAATCTTAACCTTCATCCCTGTGGGGCAAGAATTACTACCCCAATGTAGTATATTCCCTGGGTACTTGCACACACACACACAGAGTCATAGAGTGAGAGAGAAAACAGGAGTCCTGCAACAGTGTGTGAAACATTTTTTAAAAAAGGCACAGCATTTCCTTAGTGATTTAGGTGAAAATTTGGAAACCATCCTCTGATATCAAGTTTTAAAAATCACTTTTATTTTCTTTGGACTTATTGTAAAAGTTGTGTTTCAGTTATGCTTCACTTGAACATAACCTGCCTTGAATAGCTGAATTTCCAGAGTATAGACTTTTGTTCCCCAAAGGAGTAATGGATTTTGGATGTGTGTAAGACAAAGAGTTATTTCATTACTGAACTAGCTAACAATATATATACAATGGTGGGCCTGCTTTTAGAAAAGAAGAAAGCAAAAAGAACAAAGCTTTCTTACACCAGGGAGGCTACCAGTCTTTCCTTCTTCTTCTAAGAACCTACTTACTTTTAGATTTTCTCTCTTCTGGGTTTTCTTCAATCCCATGGATGCAATTCTTATGAATAAAAAATGTTAGCAGATTCTGCATGGAGCAATTTCCTCAGCCCAAAAGAGCTGGCTGTGTAAGAGCAAACCCTGGCGACTCCAGTATTCCTATAATGTTTCTATCCAAGTCCCATATTAATAGTTCATGAATTTAATAACATTCAGATATGTAATCATGAATTCACTCAACAAACATGTATTGAACCTGTTCTGTCTATAAGGTATTGGGCTAAATGGGAAGAACAAAAAGATGAGTCCTAAAGTAGTTCAAAATTAATTAATAAGACCTCAAGCCCATGCTGAAGGTATTCAGGCTTGTTGTTGTTGTTGTTATGTGCCGTCGAGTCGGCCCCGACTCATAGCGACCCCTCCTTGGGTTTCCGAGGCAGTATCACTACGGAAGTAAGATTGCCCAACCTTCCTTCCGAGGAGTGGCTGGTGGGTTTGAACCTCCAGCCGTCTGGTTAGCAGGCAAGTGTCTTAGCCACTATGCTAGCAGAGGTATTCAGGCTAGAGACAAGATAGTCACATAAAGAGTTAATTTCAATATAATGTGATCAGTGGTAAGATCCTGGTATGCCGAGTGTCTTAGGTATGGACTAAGGGCTGTGGAAACTTCACTGATATGTGGGAGGGTTGTCAGATCGGAGGGCACATCTAATCTAGGTCTTTAGTGAAGAGTAGAAGTTTTAGGGGAAGGGACATTTCAGTCACAGGAATACCACAAAGGAAAGCACTGAGATAGGAAAGTGTCTAGAATATCAGATGATCAATGAGAGGAAGTTCAAAGTAGCCAGGATTAGGATGTGTTTGTGGGAGGGTAGAAAGAGAGACTGAAGAATTAGGGTCAGACCACAAAGTACCAACTTTGGATTTTAACCTGCAAGCAATGTGAAATCACTAGAGATTTTCACACAGAAGCCATGACCAGACTTGCTTTGAGCATGATCTCTTTAGTAGCATGGAGAATTAAATGGCATAGGGTGAGACTCGTTGCAGGAAGACTAAAGAGGCAAGAGGATGATAGGAGTCTGAATTGAGGCAGTGTTATTGGGTTGGAGAAAAGCAGTCCTACCTCAGAGATATTCCAGAGGTGTAATTGAAAGGGTCTGGAAACATACATTGTAAAGATTTTAACACTTTTGTAGGTGCTAATATAAAAAAGGGACTTCCAAGTGTAGAGCACAAGACAATATTTTTTTTCTGCAATACCATTGCTTTCTTAAACATATACACTGTCAACTTACTAAAACACACAATATTTTATTTGTGGTATAAGAATTAAATTCCAAAGGCTTGTATTTCCTTATTTGTATTTCGCTTAAATTTGGAAAGAATTGTTCCTCAAAAAAAAAAGTACAGTTTAATGAAATGAATGTCTTATTTTATCTCATCATACATGTCTCGTGTTTCTGTGATACGTTCAAGTTGAACTTGCTGGAAAGCTGCTTATTTGAGGCTATAGAATGTCTTGAAGAATGGGTCTAATCCGAGTTTAGCTACCTATCTCTCCAGGCCTGTTTTCTTATTTATAAAACTCCTTGATCCCTAAAATGCCTTCTGATTAAAATTCTGCTATTCATTCCTCTCAGAACAGTGGCTGCCCTCAATTTTTATTTTATTTTATTTTTTTTAGTTTCAAAAGTAGACTTAAATTTTGCTGAAAGATGCTTCTTGGAAAATATATACATATTTTTCAACGCTTTTGAGAGTCATCAAGAGGACTGGAGCGTCATGCACATTTAAAACCTTACCATTCTGGGGCACAAAGGCACTCAGAGAAATGTACTTAAACCTTCGCAGGTTTAACTAAGTCTTACACTGAGTAAGTATAATGCTTGTTCAAAGAAATGTAGAGAGCTGAATGGGGTAACTATGACTGCAGAGAAATCAACAACACGCAAGTCAATTCTCGGTTCTCTTCCTTATGAAACTTGTATCTGTAAATGGAAATAGGGCTCTAGGTCTGAAAGACGAAAATGGGGAGGGGAAGTTTCTCTGCTTTCTTTGCTCCCTACCTGCTGGTCTGTCTGATTTCCTCTCCTGCTCTCCCAATCTGATAAGGAATTGATTCTCCCCCCTCCTTTCCACCCTCCCTCTGTCTGCCTGAGTAACAATGCTGTCCTAGTAAGTGATGCTGTCGGAGTCAGGAGACGGACACCGAGGAGGCACTGTCGCCGCCGCGGGGCCTGAGAGTCTTCATCAGCACGAGCGCCCGGCTCTGCCCTGGCTTCCTCCTCTCAGCCACAGCCCCGGCTGCTCCCACGGTTTCATGGTGTGCGGCGGCGGCTGCAGTTCGGCTTTGGCTCCCGCCTCTAGCTGCTCCGTCGCGAGCCGCGCTGCTCTCGCCTCCTCCCTTCCCGCTCAGCTCTGCCCGAGGCTGCGGGAGCAGCGGGAGATAGGCTAGGGGCGCCGCGGGGACACCGCGCCGCCGCGGCAGAGGAAGAGGCCGGCGGCCGGCTTCCCAGCGCTCGGATCGCTACCGGCGCGATGTCCACCAAGGTCAGGAAGTGCAAGGAGCAAGCGAGGGTGACCTTCCCCGCGCCCGAGGAGGAGGAGGAAGAAGAGGGCGAGGACGAGGGTGCAGAGCCTCAACGCCGCCGCCGGGGCTGGAGGGGCGTCAACGGGGGGCTCGAGGCGCGCTCAGCGACCTCCCAGCGGGAGCCGCCCCGCTACTGTCCTCCGCCCCTCTCCCCGGGGCCCGACATGTGAGTACCGGGCGGGCGGCGGGCCAGCTCCGCGACTTGCCCGGGGCCCCCACACCCTAACACGCACAGCCCGGCAGGTCGACTCCGGGCGACTTCATGAGGCAGACCTCCACCAGGGGCTCGCTCCCGCAGTCCTGCCCCATGGAGGGACTTGACGAGGGTCTGTGTCCCGGCTCGAACACACCCACAGACCGACAGACAGACGCCAGACACCCATCCCAGCGAGCAGATATTCCTTTCTCTACATCCGAAGACAGGCACACGGCAGCTACATAAACTGGCTACCCTCGGAAGACCGACCCTGGAGTCCCAGAGCTTACTCCGGGAGTCCCAGGCAGGGGAGGGGGGTGCACAGACGCAGGCTTGCACTTGAACCCTGAACTCCTCCCCTGCATCTCAGTGTGGAGCCACCCTGGGAACTAGTGCCCCACTGACGCTCCCAACCGCCGAAGGCTGGAGAGTGGGGAGAAGGGAGGGGACAAAGCGCGAAACGGGATTTGGGATAAAGGTTTGCCCAGACACCTCCTCTTCCTTTGATCCATTCACATTCCAGAGAAGGAAGGAATGGAAATCTCAGCGGGTCCCCTTGAGGAGGGAGTGGGCGCAAGGCGGCCCCAGGGCAGCTTTTGTGATAACTTTGTAAGCAGTTCCTCGGCAGCACAGAGTCTGTAGCTGTTGCTGCTGCTTTAAAGAAAAGTAGAGGTCAGTGTTCTAGAGTGTGTGAGAAAGAGCAACTTCTCTTAATTTCCTGATTTTCGAGGCAGCCTTTAATCAGCTGCGAGTCGCAGAGAGGGTAAGAAAGAGGATAATTAGTTAATCAGGGTGAATGCTCTGTGTTTCTCGTCACATACCTTAGACCCGCCGCGAGCCTACGTCTTTTTTAGGAAGAACGCACAGCCCTAGGTAGAGAACTTGGGGTCAGATGGTTACCGGTGGCTTTAAGTAGCAGAGCTTGGACCAAGGGTTAAAGCGCCCCCTGCTGCCTACAGGGCCCGAGGCAACAGGAGCGACCACAGTACTCACCGGGTCGCTTCCTGCTCTGCTAGCTCAGAGCTCTTGCCAGGCCCGTCCGGATTTGACTATGTTGTTGTTGTTGTTATGTGCCGTCGAGTCGGCCCCGACTCATAGCGACCCCCTCCTTGGGTTTTCGAGGCAGTATCACTACG